CAAAAAAAAAAAAAAAAAAAGAACCGTACGGACTCGCCGATTCACTGTTCGGACTCGCCGATTCCGTACACTGAATCGGCGAGTCACTGTGCGGAATCGTCCGGTTCTCTCTAGAACCGGACGATTTCCGATTTTTCAACCGATCCGGTCCCTTTTCTAGAATTCCGAGTCGAACCGGGCGAGTCCGGTTCGACTCGGCGTTTTTTAAAACGCTGCTTCTACCCCTCTGTCAAACACCTCCAGAGATTTTCAATATTTTTTTCTTTTTTTTTGTTTTTCCGAGAAAATAACTTTAAAGATCTCATTTCAACTTTTACTTTCCTACTGACCAATAGGTTCAAAATTTATCTTACTATCTAAAAATTCACTCTATTATATCTCTTAACTCTCTAAATATAATTTATTTTATTTTTACTATTTTTTTAATCCAAACAAATTTAAAAAAGATATTGTTTTTAAATCCCTCTCCCGACATGATTCTTTTTATTTCTCTCCCGATTAACCTCCCAAACCCACGCTAATTTTCAAACATGATTCACCCTCAGGTATACTCTGAAACACAGGCCTCCAACCCCTGTGTTTATCACCATTTGTGTTCATGAGTTACTCGATCATCTTATCAACGGACATGCCATGAAGCTCCATCTTTGCCAATAGCTACTCAAGCGGTTTCTTAATGATCCTTATCTTCACCTCTTTAGAGTCTCCACAATCTTCTCTCTAGAACCCATTTTGCTCTCTCTCTCATTGTCACAAAAATCCCAAATACAGCTTTCAAAAAGACCCAAGCTTCATCATTTTCGCTCTCTACCATAAGGGACGCGATATGTTCCACTCCCAACTCAAATAAAATTCAAATATAAAAATATCTCCCTTTCGGACCGAACCACACCCAATTTAACCTACCATTTTCAACAAGAGGCAAATTCCATAGGTGCCGATTTTTTTTGTGTTTCTCTTTCAATAAGATGGGAATTTTTTTGTGTTTCTCTCTCTACAAATGCTTTCTCTCTCCAAATACCTTGCGATAGGGTTAAGGATTAAGAAACGGTGAGGTGGGCTTGTTTTATATGTGGAGACAGCGAAAATGGCTTGAAATTATGGGAAAAGATGGGAGAAGGGATTGTTTTTTGTATTTGTCTTTCTAAAAAATACTCTCTCTCTAAAAACCTATGTGACATGGATGACGTTTAAAAAATAGTGTAGTGGGTTTTGTTTTAATATGTAGAGAGAGAGAGAAAAGGGCATTGGATGATGGGAGAAATGAAAAGTTTTTTTTTTTTCTCTCTAAAAACCTCTATGACAGGGATAAGGATTATCTCCCAAACCCATGCTGACTTTCAAATTGTTTAGAGTTAGAAAAAATATGTTTTTTTTAATTTGTTTGGGTTAAAAGTTGGAATAAATATAGATAAAATTATTTAAGGGGTTAAAAGATAGGTTTTGAAATTTTGGGTTTTGAAAGAAATGAAAGTTGAAGATGGGGTCTATGGAGATATTTCCCTTTTTATTTTTTAAATGTGTTAAGTGAGAATGAAAGCTTAGACGGGCTGCTACCGACCTCAGCACTACTCAATTTAAAAATTATTAAATCTTAAAATCACTATTTAAAAATTGCATGGTCTCTATTCAATCTCTACTCCTTATTTTTTTTCAAGTGCATAAAAGGTACAATTAAGATTTTTTTTATTGAGGTTAATATATAGGTTGAAGAGATTAAGTCCCCAAAATTTGAGGGCCTTAAAATTAATTCTAAAAAGGGTTTTACTCAAGGGAATAAATGGAAAGTATACTCCCACACAAGGGTATAATACCGTTTGAGATTTCATCATTAATCCTTATTTCAAAAATAAAAAATAAAAAATAGATCAATATAGTTTGGTAGACATCTCATTAGTACTTTCAAAGTCAGGCATCAAGATCACAATTTTGTCATGCACAAAAGAATAAAAAAAATCAACATAGTTTGGTAGAAATCTCATTAATACTTTAAAGGTCAGGCATCATGATCACAATTTTGTCATGTAGAAAAGAATAAAAAATCTAGACTAGAGTGGGGTCGTTGTAAATTTTATCCAAGAGTTCTAATTAACCAAAAGCAAGCTTTTAGCAAGCATATTTAAATTCAAACTCTATTCAAAACATTTCAAACAAGCAGGAATGATGCCTTGTGATTTTCTCTTGGCTCATGCAACTCTACTTGACTTCATGTAGTAATCTAAATATGAATGAGGTTTATATCAGACATAGGTTTTATGAATACAAATAAAACATCACCTCAAATTATTGTTTTGAAAGTATTTTTGGTGATAGTCATCTCTATGATGGCTCTAAAATCAATTTTTAATATTAACAATAAAATCTGAAATTCAACAAAGAATATAGATCTTATAGATCTATGAACACTTATTTTAAAACAAAATAGATAGTCTAGATAATTTATTACAATATACATTATTTTTAGAGCTTGAAATCTTTATTTTTTTCACAACCATAATATTCAAATCGAGATGATCGATGTAAAGGTTTTCCAACACTTGATTTGCAGTTCCCGATGAGTTGTAAAGTAAAGATTTACTTATTTTGACAGGACTCCAGCCCAGCCCTAACAAATCATTTCCCTTTAAATATAAAAGGGAACAAAATCGTAGAATAAACTCTTTGATTTTGTAGAGACTTGGTCCTATTTTGTTGCCACCATAGTGAGATAAACCTGTCAGGAGTGAGCTTGCCACAAATAGAGCATATGAGAAATAAAATAAGCTTGCTACAAAACCAAGTTAGAGAGAAGAAATATATAGGAGGCAAACAAGGGAAGCACAATGCAATAATCATCCTATATATTAACCCCTCTAAAACCCTTCCAATATATAACCCACCTAGAGAAAAATAAAAAGGAGACACTTATTAAAACCCTTCCAATATATAACCCACCTAGAGAAAAGCAAAAAGGAGACACTTGTAGAGAGGGTGGGTGGTCATGTGTTGTCTTACAATGAAGGTACAATCTCATTTTCAAGGCCCATTCTTTTTCCCTTTTAATTTTATTTATTTTTCTTTTAAAACTCTTTCAAGTGGGGCAAATAAAAATGGCCCTTTATTTTTCAAATATTTTTGAATCATTTATTTTCTTAAAGACAACCAAGACAATCGGTGGAAGGCTTGCTTGGACTAGGGTTGGCAATGGATCCACACCCAAGGGGTAGACCTGATTCAGGTATGGTAATTTTTCGGGTTTTAATTTATGAAATATATTTGGATATAGTTAAATATATAGATATTTTATTTT